TAATTTGCTACATACAAATATTAATCACCACCAACGAAAACATAGCACGCACAAAACTATTATAAGAAAGAAAAATACCGCTGCCGGGGTAAGCACTTGCAGATCACAAGCCATTGAACACACACTGCCAACAATTCCACTATCTACAGGCACAACAACTCCTCTAGATGGTGGATTCGCAGTGACAACGGCAGTATGCATTGACGCGCTGCGCACAGGTTGAAGAACAAAAAATAAAAAAATAAATACTTAGGTGTACTTTCAGAACTACAAGCACGTGCACATACGTTACTACGCAAGTGCACGCAAAGCAGACACAGTGTGGCCTGTGCACTTTGACAGAACTGTGTGTGCACCTGTGCATATGCATAAGAACGTATTCATGCACCAACCACATAAGCATTCTAAACGGGACAAAACACACCCCGCCACAAATTAACAGTACTAAATGTGCAAGAAAAAAGTCCAAAATTAAAACCACAAGACTACACTCACTATGCAAGTGTCATCTAAAATCAAAACACAACGACCAGATTGCGCATAACTAATACGAAACAATAAATATAACATCTAAAGCCAAATACAATACCTTGCTGCATGTGCATAGTACAAAACAAAAAGTTATCAACACTATACAACTACCGCAGCACATCAAAAAAACAGTACAAGGAGACTGCTCACCAAGTACAGAAACATCCCACCAATAACAAAACAAAGCCCCAGTACACAACCCTACAAACCCAACCCCTTAGCTTTCCTACGCTTGTAGACAATACTTACTGCAGCATCAGGGACTCGCAACGGACACCCAGGCGGAGAACCACCAACCACATCACCTGAATCATACTGATGGGCCACCTCCAAAACATCAGCCCCCTGCTGCACCTGAAAATCCTGCGTCAATCTCAAGCTAAAAGATGGAATATCATGCATAGCATTCCGCAACTGGATCGCTCGCTCGACCTCCTAGAGAGCACACAAATTCGCAGGGTCAGCCCAAATCGCATCCTGAGACGGCGTGAACAACGACTGTGAAGTCTGCTGAGTAGGCATGGTAGACCCCCCAGCGGCATGACCAACACTGAGCATCGCGCGCGACGCATCTAACACCTGGACCAAACTGTCTGTCTGCAAATCAGACCCAGCACTATAAGCCTCTTGTAAAAACTGCATCAACCGAAGCATAGATGTGGCCGCAGCCTGTGCATTCTCGATCAGCTAAACAACCAAAGGCTGCAACCCCCAATATAAAACAAAAACAGAGAACAGTCAACCACAAGTTTGCAAAAAGTAGAACACCAACTTACACAACTACATAAACCACGCACTAACCAGCAACTATAATATATAAAACACCCAAAGAGGCCCACCATTGCTTTCCAACACTTTGTACACCCTCGTCCCCTAGTGGGTGCACACAGGCAGCCACTCAGAAGGCAGTCGTGTGCCAACAAAAGCAAACAAAACTTTAAAGGCATTAAATGGACGACATAGCCTTACCTTGCTAATCTCTGGCTCACGGTGGCCATCCAATGCACCACCTTGACCTCCACTCAGTACCCCCACATTGACACCATCCGAGGCCCCCACACCACCAAGATCAACAAACCGTGGCTGAACAACCCCCCCCCCCCCCCCAAAACCACCACCCCTAATCTCTGCAAACTCGCGCTCACGCAACAACTGACTTGTCCAACCTGAAAAGGCTGGAACGGCTCTTGGAACAGCGCGAGCGGCACCACAAACACGATCCACATAGAAAACCTACGAAACACACGTGCACACACATCAAACCCTACATCCCAAAAATAAAAACATAAACAAAACGAAACAAAACGGAGACACTACCGTCAAAAACAATAGGGGCCCAACAAACCGCTGCCTCGTGTTAACCAACCACGCCGCGCGAGTCTCAACCAAACTATCCAGGACAAACTTACACCAGTTCAAATCACCAATTTTCTCAACCTCCTCATAATCATCTACAATCATCTGGTATGCATAACCATTATGCATGCACTGTATCAAAGTACTCACCATCAAAGCAGTGAAATAGCGCTTAAACCACTCACACCCACCACGCAACTCATCCATCCTTGATGCAATACGGGTAGCCGTAATGTCATGGGTGGTTGTGTCAAACTCAGCCCTCCAAAGCAGCAAAAAGTCACTAACATCATTGTTTCCACGCTTGGTAATAGTAATGTAACCTCTAGGAAGTCCAAGTGTCGCCTCTACATCCTCCTCACGAATAGGCACCGACACACCATTCCCCAAACGCAAGGACATCGTACCGTGGTCGAAATTCTCCAGCAGCCAACGACCCATCCGTCCAGGAGTCTCCATAACCTCCAACTCTAACAACTTCCCAAACCCCAAATCACACACTGCGCTACGCTGCCAGCGTGAGAACTTTCTACGAGCCTTAACAAGTATGCATGCAGAGCACCTAGTCTTCAAACTCGGGAACCGAGCAGCCTCCGCTGGAGTCAGCTCATACTCCGACACATCAACATCATCATCCTCCAGCACAGGTGCCTCAACCTCAGGCTGTTCCTCTGGGAAAAACAAAATACACCATATCAAACACTGAAAGGCACACACGTAAGAACACACCGGCACACTTACTAAATGCATTACCATTACACCAACCACTGCACACCAAGGACAAATAATCTAATAGACTAAATTCCATACAGTATAACTCAAAATGCACACAACAGAGACCACAAAGGCACAGAGCGGGAGCAGCCACCCTCCAAGACAACACAAGGGCACCCACAATAGTACTAAAATACACACACCCAAATCAAACACTGGAAGGCACACACGTAAGAACACACCGACACACTTACAAAATCCATTAACAATACACCCACCACTACATGCCAAGGACAAATAATCTAATCGACTACATTCCATACAGTATTACTATAAATGCACACAACAGAGACAAAAAAAGCACACAGCGGGAGCAGCCAACCTCCAAGACAACATAAAGGCACCCACGGTAGTACTAAAATACACACACCCAAATCAACCATTGAAATGCACACACGTAAGAACACACCGGCACACTTACAAAATCCATTAACAATACACCCACCACTGCACACCAAGGACAACTAATGTAATCGACTAAATTCCATACAATATTACTATAAATGCACACAACAGAGACCACAAGCCACACAGTGGGAGAAGCCAACCTCTAAGACAACATAAGGGCACCCACGGTAGTACTAAAATACACACACCCAAATCAACCACTTAAATGCACACACGTAAGAACACACCGGCACACTTACAAAATCCATTAACAATACACACACCACTGCACACCAAGGACAAATAATGTAATAGACTAAATTCCATACAGTATTACTATAAATGCACACAACAGAGACAACAAAGGCACACAGCGGGAGCAGCCAACCTCCAACATAACATAAGGGCACCCACAGTAGTACTAAAATACACACACCCAAAAAACACATAAACAAAACCTGCCAGCACACAACCACAGAGATATATGATGTAAGAACCTCCCTGTGATATGTTATTTAACATTGTTTTATCTAATTGGACTCAAAACCGTTTAATTTTCTTCTACTTTCTATGTGTCTTGCAGGCATGACTTTCAGTTCTTTAAAACACAAACTACAGGGGGCTGTTTGAAAAGGAAGTTTACTACCTCATGGTGGGTCATGGCTCTCCTCTACATTTCAATTAACAACAAAAAGAAAATAAAAAAAATCAAGGAGCAGACCATTCATCAATGGCATCCCCGCCCCACCAAAACACACCACAGTCGAACCAAAACCCTCAACCAACACACCACAGTATAGCCAACACCCCCAACCAAGACCCGCCCCCCCCCCCCCCCACTGCCACCCCACCCATCGGCACAACCACCCAACCAACCCCCGAAACCCAAAAAAAAAAAAAAAAACTACACCGGTAAAGCAACAACCCCAAAATCAAATAACAAAGAAGCCAAAACTCATATATATCAAAACAATGCAAACAAAGACCCAAATCATATATCCGAAATTTATATATAAAAAAAAACATTGAAAAAAAAGGGGCAAAAACCGACCTGGAACAGCGGCCGACTTGGCCGCCGGCCGTGGACGTTTGGGGTTCCGACCCACGGTACCGGCAATCTCAGCCGGGACTCCAACCACCGCAGGCGACGCAGCAGCGGCCGACCTCGCCACCGGCCGTGGGCGCATAGGGTTTCGAGTCACGGTGCGAGCCATCACAAACGGACTTCAATCGGAGCAGCGACGCTGTGGAGGAATACGGAGACCTTCGACCTTCTCGACCTTCTCTGGAGAGCTTCGAACGTCTCAGTAGAGCTGTCCAACTTCTGTGCTGTACGGACTCTCCAATGCGAAATAAAAGGGAAAAAATAATAAAACCCTTCACGCGCCTATGACATGACCATACTATCCTTACCCGCTCAAATTAAACCCAATCCACCGTAAAACACAATTTTAAAAATAATAAAACATACACCGCGGATTAATTTAAATAAACTACTTAGATTAGTTCTTACGTTCCTATCTAACAATGGGTTCCTATACGATTGTTATTATATATATATTGTACTCAACGCGTTTGAGTGGGTTACTTAGCAAAATTCGCTAACGGTTGTAATACATATGTCTTTAAGGTACAGAGTAGTTCGTTGATGAGTGCGCTAGATGAAGTCTTTACTTGGACTAGTCTCTCTCTCTCTTAGCTTAGATAGTATGGCATGTGAGCCTTGAACGTTTAGACTTTGTTGGATGGTTTGACTCTTGGATTAAGTAATGTTGAGATTGGCCTGTGCATCTAAAGTTTTAGTTTAGATGTGGCATAACTCCCCAATACTATTTACTTTAGCTTCGGCGTTACTTTAATTATTATGGTTAGATTTGCCTTATCACTTAAGTTTTAAATGTTTTAAAATTTTCTTAAAATCGGGGGTGTTACACAAAGTTTGTGCTAATAGAATGAAATTGGTCCTAGATGGTTTGATCTCAGCAGCACAAAGTGCGTTTGTCCACGGTCGGTTAATTAACGACAACATCATGTTGGCTTACGAGGGTCACCATTATTTGAAACGCAAAACCCAAGGTCGAGAAGGCATGGCTGCTTTGGAGGTTCATACGAGTAAAGCGTATGATCGCGTTGAGTGGTGGTTTCTTACGGCAATGATGGCTAAATTGGGGTTCGATAACAAGTTGATATGAATTCTGTTTGAATCAGTAAGCACAGTAAAGTATCACATACTTCATGAAAATCAGCAGCTTGGGCCAATTGTTCCGGGTAGAGGTTTTCGCCATGGGGATCCTCTATCTCTGTATCTCTTCTTATTAGTTGCTGAAGGCTTGAGTGCCCTTATTGACAGACAGGTACATAATGGTCTCTTGCATGGGGTTGTAGTGGCACGAGGAGCTCCGTAGATTTCACACCTCCTATTCGCTGACGACTGCTTTATTTTATTGCGTGCCAATGTTGAGGAGAGTGTGCAAATGAAATGGGTGCTTGATACATATTCAGTGCCATTTGGGCAGAAAATTAACTTTGAAAAACCCATTGCCTGCTTTAGTTCCAATGTCATGCAGCATGTGAAAGAAGATGTGGTTGTACTTCTTGGCGTGGATGAAGGTGATACTGCAGGAAGATATTTAGGCCTTCCTTTGGCAAAGGTTCAAAGTTGGAATGCCAGATTTTTGTCTCGCGCAGGCAGAGAAGTTCTTTTGAAGACTGTAATTCAGCCTATGCCATCATATGTAATGATGGTTTTCCTACTACCAATCGGTCTATGCAAGGAAATTGAAACCATAATGAATGAGTATTGGTGGACGGATAGTGCAGGACAAGTAAGGGGGATTAAATGGAAATCGTGGGAAGGATTACGTGGACCGAACAAGTTTGGTGCTTGGGCTTCAGGAAGCTAAGGGAGGTTAACATAGCATTCTTGGGTAAACAAGCCTGGAGATTGGTTACTAATCCGGAGTCTTTGGTGGCTCGGGTTTACATAGCTCGCTACTATCCTAGGGGGACTTATTTTCAGGCTAGTTTGGGTAGCAATCCATCGTTTATATGGAGTGGGTTGTTGGAGGTTCAATGTGTGATCAAGAATGGTGTAGGAGGCGTATAGGAGATGGCAAAGACACAAAGATTGGTCTGGATCCATGGTTGCCAACAGATTCTGAGCCATATGTTCAGACTATATTACACGACTCCATCGCATCTGCTCGGGTTTCTTTGCTGATGAATGAGGACGGCTCTACCTGGGATATTGATTGTGTCAACGACATTTTTGAAGCCAATGACGTGCACAAAATTCTTAAAATCTCAATCAGCATGCGTCAAAGATCCGACTCATGGGTGTGGCACTAGGATTCGAAGGGGATGTACACTTTAAAATCCTGCTATAAGTTGTTGCTAGGAGAGTTCCATGGTGAACGGCCATGGGGACATATCTGGAATTTAAAGATCCCGCCGAAGGTAAAGGTTTTTTGTTCCTTCCAACCCAGGATGCTTTAAATGCTAAACATGTCGCTTGCAATATTATGTGTCATATGTGTGGATGTGTTGTTAAATCTGCATAGAGCAAATTACCAAAATGGTCCCTCGACTATGTCAATTTCACCAATTCAGTCCTATTCATTTTGATTTCTTTAATCTAATCCCCCGACTATCAAAATTTTAACCATTTTAGTCCTCCGGTGACTTGGATGGCCAACTTCCGGTGATGGTAAGGGTATTTTAGTAACTTCGCATTTATTCCCGCTGAATCCTAATATTTGGCGCTTTAATTAACCAGACGTTGTCTTTAGTCAAAATCCCAAATCTTTGTCAACATAAACCCTAGCAGTCGAATGTGCGCGAAGAAGAAGGGCGAATCCTGTCTGAAGTTCGAAGAAACAAAGTAATGGCAACTGATGGTGGAAGCGGAACAGGTATTTATACTTTGCACATCTTGCTTTATTGTACTGCGGAAAGAGACTTGGTTTATTGTACTATATTTTGAGTGGGGACCATATACATATGAATTTTCGTAGTTGTTAATGATGTATTATGTCTGCCTGCACTGTGCAATATGAAATTAATGGGGACCATTGTGTTGTCTGTGCATAAAAGGGGAGCAGTGTGTTGAGTAAATGGGAACCAGTTTTTGAGTAAAAGGGGAGCAGTGTGTTGAGTAAATGGGGACCAGTTTGTGAGTAAATGGGGACTGGTGTGTGAGTAAATGGGGAACAATGTACTTTGTTGTAGTCAGATTCTTTTTTGTAGTCATATGGGAACCATGTGCTTTTACTTTTATTTGTTAATTTGTTGTCAGGCAGCATGCTTAAAGTGGTTTTACTTGCTTTGTTTAAACTACTTTTTTATTGTTATTGTTTTCTGTGTTATTATATTATATACAGGTTGCTATAGTTTCCCATTAAACCTAAGGGATGGGGATCAGGAGTATGATTATGATGGGGGTGAGGAGTATGTTGATGATGGTAGTGAGGAGAATGATGATGATGTGGATGAGGAGTATGATGATGATGGTAGTGAGAAGTATGCTGATGATGGCAGTAATGTAGAAGATGATACAGAGTTTGATAAATGCATTGATGAAAATGTGGAATTTGGAGGGGTTGGAAGAAATAATGAAGAAATTGAACAAAGAAGAGTAGAAACAATTTTAGGTGAAAATGTGGACTTACCTGATGATAGGGAAATTCTGGAAAGTGATGAAGAAGTCCAAGAGGATGTGTGGCAGGCTGGTAGGCCTACACGTCAAGATAATACTCCAGTATTATGGATTAGGAGGACATTCACAACTAAAAAAGATTTTAAAGAAGCAGTTTTAGAGTATGGAATAAGAAATGGGAAAGAGTTGAAGTACATCAAGAATGACAAGGTCAGAGTTGTAGCCATTTGTACCCATGAGTGTTGCAATTGGAAGATCACATTGAGAAGAGTGGCAGATGAAGTGTGCTGGAGGGTACTAAGTTTTAATGATAACCATGAAGGTTTCACATGGAGTGAGAAGAATAGACTGCTGACTTCTTCAAAAGTAGCTAAGAGGTGGAAGAAAGAACTTAAAGATAACTCCAAAATGACAATGCATGAATTCAGGAAAAAGATTTGGACTTCTGAGCATTACAGTTTGAGTTCTAGACAAGCCTATAAGGCAATGACCTTTGCTAAGAGAGATATTAAAGACGAAGCTGAAGATAACTTCAAAAAAATATTGTCTTACGATGCTGAAATCCGGAAAACAAATCCCATGTCAAGATTTTTAATTAAGGTAACTGATGATGGAGGCAAAGAAAGGCTTAAGAGAGTATACGTGTGTTGGGAAGCTTGTAGGGAAGGTTTCAAGTATTGTAGGCCATTAATTGGTGTTGATGGTTGTCATCTTAAGGGTAGGGCAGGTATGCTACTGACTGCAATTTCACTAGATGGTAATGAAGGGATTTTTCCACTTGCATATGCTTTTGTTGAAGGAGAGAATAAAGACAGTTGGTGTTGGTTTCTAAAGTTATTGCAGAGGGACCTGGAGACCATTGAAATCAATGAAAATAACCTAACATTTATGTCCAACAAGCAAAAGGGTTTGATACCAGCTTTTCATGAGGTTTTTCCTAGGGCAAGTCATAGATTCTGTGTCAGGCATTTACATGGCAATATGAGAGTGGCAGGTTTTATTGGACAACCAATAAAAGATGCATTGTGGAAGGCTGCAAGAGCAACAATAGTGAATACCTCTGCTTTTAGAGAGTTAAAGGATCTGGATGTCAAGGCATTTGAGTGGTTGGCAGATAAGCATCCAGCAGAATGGTCAAGGTCACACTTCAACACAAGGGCTCAATCTGATATGCTGGTTAATAATATCTATGAAAGTTTCAACTCTATGATCCATGATGCAAGAGAGAATCCTTTGATCAGCTGCCTAGAGATTTTAAGAAAATAACTTATGGTGAGGTTTTATGAGTGTAAGACTAAGGCTTCAAAATGGTCTGGACCCATATGTCCAAATATTGTTAAAAAATTAGATCTTGTTGAGCAACAAGCTGGGTCATTTTGGTGTTATCAAAGCAGTGAGACTTTGTTTGAAGTAATAGGGCCAGTGGATCAGCATCAAGTGGATTTGGGAAGACATATTTGCTCTTGTAGAAAGTTGGAACTAACAGGGATCTCTTGTAGATATGCAGTCTCTGCAATTTGGAAAAAATATGGCAAAGGACATGTTTATGATTATGTTCATACATGTTATTCAGTCCATACTTATAAGCAAAGTTATGAAGGTTGTATTCATCCAATTGCTGGACCTGATGAATGGCCTGTCATTCAAAGGGAGCCACCATTGCCACCATTATACAAAACACAAGTTGGAAGGCCTAAGATGTTGAGAAGGAGATCTGCTGGAGAGTTGCCAAATGAAAAGAGAACATATAAAAAGAAGAAAAAGGCTGATTAAGAACCTGTAAAGCTAACTAAAGATGGTGTTCATGTATCAAGGAGTTTTGTGAGGCTTCATTGCACACATTGCAAGCAACCAGGCCATAATAGCAGGACTTGTCCTTTGACAAAAAACAAGAAGGTATACATTCTGTTAATTGCTTCTTTTCCTTAACTTAAAAACTAATTGCTACTCTATGTTTTACAGAAAGCAAGTAACCCAGAACAACACCTTGGTGAAAGTAGTGCTACAATTGAGAATCCAGTGAATCAGAATCATACAATTGAGAATCCAGTGAATCAGAATCATACTGGAGCTAATGAAGTCAATCAGAATCATACTACAGCTAATGAAATCAATCTGAATGATTTAGGTAATTAATTGTTTGTATTTCTAAACTGAATGAAGTCAATCATAATGAGTTGTCAATTAATTTTTTTTACCTTGCAGTTGACATAGAAATTACTAATGGATGTGAGAATGAGACTGATGTGAATGGAGCTGATCCATTGTTGGATGAAGTGGATGGAACTGATGTGAATGGAGCTGAAGTCAATGATTTCACTAATTTAGGTAATTAATCGTTTGTATTTCTAAACTGAATGAAGTCAATCAGAATGAGTTGTCAAGTAATTGTTTTTTTACCTTGTAGTTGACATACAGATTAGTAATGGATGTGAGAATGAAAGTGATGTGAATGGAGTTGATCCATTGTTGGATGCAGTGGATGGAACTGATGTGAATGGAACTGATGTGGATGGAACTGATTTGAATGGAGCTGAAGTTAATGTAGATGATCCATTGTTGGACCAATGGGATGCAATTCAAATCCCATGGGAGGTTTTTGATAACACACAAGAACCACCATGTGATGACACAGAACCAGAGGAAGCAACATCAGAAGGCTATGCTAGAGGACCCCCTAAGGCTATGTCTAAGAAGGGAGAAAAACAGAAGAAAGCATTGGGAGTAACAGGAAATACAAGACTAGATCTAAATCTATGTTCAAGAGCAAGTTCCATGGGAACTCTAAGGAGCCAATAGAAATTGAGTAGGAGTATAACATTATGTAGCTTCTTCTTTTTTTGGTGGTCATAACTACTCCAAACTGTGGCTTTTTTGTTGGTTGTTAGGTGTTTTGGCAGTGAACAACCCTTTGCTACATGCAGTCTATGTTAAGTGTTTTGGCAGTGAACCATAATTTGCTATTAAATCTATGTTTTGACTCTTCTAATTTGTTGTCAATTAAACCAAACTTCTATTTTGACTCAATAGCTCTCTGCTCAGTACCATTCAAATAGACCAAGTTAACATTATAAACCACACCAATAAACAACATAGACACCTCTCTGCTCAGTACCATTCAACACCAATAAACAACCTAGACAGCTCTCTGCTCAGTACCATTCAACACCAATAAACAACATACCAAGTTAACATTATAAACTACACCAAACCGAGCAGACAAAATCATACAAAACATAGTAGACCATT